TTACACAATGATGTGTTCATATTTTCTATGTGAAATGACGCCACCTAAAACAGAACCCTATAAATATGGAACAATTTGCAAATATTTGACCAGAAATTTTAGTTTAAAAAGTTAACAGTTACTAAACCAGACAAAATATTAATGTATTCAGGAGAAACTACTATAATTTTTTCAGCATGCGACTTCCGTGTGGATATTTGATATTCATCATTATTTAAACATTATGATAAAATGAAATGAGAGAAAAACGAACCCTGGGAAATTATGCAATTCAACAGCACATATATCCTCTCATGCTTGAAAAACAAGGGATAATATTGCTGAAATTGAATAGTTTGATAGGCAAGCGACTAAAATTAATTCTTTAAAATCAATATTTCAACAAAGATCAATGTTTGAGATTATGTTACTTTTATGGTTTAACTGAAATGATGAGGCGCATCATTTTTGGGCATCATCACCTGTTGAAACATGATGTATTGCTGACAAATAATATATAAAGTAAAATGCAAGATTCAGAATCTAAGGAAACCCTTCACAGTTGTCGTAACAAAGTGTTCCAATTATGGTAGCATTACGTTAGACATATGATGTTGTCCAGCAAAGTAACTTACTTCAGGTGTTGGTAAATATATTTGACTTAGATGAAATTTCTTTGTTTATGTTTTTCGTTGTTGGTCATTGTTGTTTGCTGTTAAGAAATAAGGCTACATTGTAACTGATGCATTTTTGCTACTTGTGTATATTACTAAGTAAAATCTCTTTCGAACTGATGGATACGTGATAAAGTACTTTTTAACGTGCTTAGACAGAAACCAAGACATTAACGCATTAGTACATGTACCAAAGACAAGCAGCATAGACATAAGGAAAACGATTGAATTCATTTTGTAAATGCAATAGACGACAACAAACAAGAGACTCTTAAGATAGGTACTTAAACTACTTTAGTTACATACAGCAATTCCCGTTATTTCCAAGAAAAATATTTTTGTTCTTTGCTTAAGATTAAGAGATATAATCAAAGTTTACTACGCGCACAATTTGCATCCATTGGTAGTTGGTAAATATGGTCTCTTATTGTTGATTAAACTAAACGATCCTGTGTGTAGAAGATGATGTATACCTTGGAAACCTGCATAAAACTAGCCCAATTTCACACCAGGAAAGATTTACATATAGATTTTAATGTAAAGCTTTGAGTTCTATTCCCCGACTTGACTGGAAAGGGTATTGGGTCACCTGCCCGAACAAGTGGGTTTTCCGTCAGGGTTTTCCAGCTACACTGATACCTGTCGCTTCCACCGGGTCAAAAACGAGTGATACATGGAGGATGTAATGATTCGTTATTGTTGTACAATACTTTTTTTATGAAAAAAACTTAAATTGAATGAGATCATACTATATAGGCCGCAGCTCTAATGTAACCACAAACCAGTTTATTACCTTTAAACTTCCGATGTTTAAATCATTGCCTTGAATGATATATATGTTTTTCAAGTGTCCATATTTTGTCAAAACAAATATAAGGTCGTCATATATATGTTATATTAAGTTTAAAGTATGTCTCATAGCCCTGTAGTACTGAATTAGATCTCCAAGTACTTATACACTATAATCATGTCTCTCTCCAGACGTTTGGTGTCACTGTGTTGACGTGGCCGTAGGTAGGTCAATTCTAGAATATACCAACATGTTTTTCTTATTGTACTAGGTCGTTTCATCCATTCACAGACGATAAAGATTTAATGTTAACACCAATACTTACCGGGCAAATACATTTATAATGAAGTGTTGATATTTTGTTACCGTGAACATTATTTTCAATATATCAAGTATAGATTTAAGGAATAAAAACCTTGATAATGACATATAACAAAGTTTAAATAAATGCATAAGAGATGCCTAAAAAGAATGGATTTTACAGTTTAAAAGTTCTGTAAACTGATCAATTTATTCTTAAACTATTCCCACAATGTACGAGTCACACATGATTTACATCCGAACTTGGCTTATATGTGATAATATAATTTTGTAACAAGGTTTGTGGAGTATTTTTAGAGTTTGTTCAGCTGAGATAGAATTAAGAGTCAAGGTGTTCTTTCCCAAGGGTTTAGTGAGCTTACGTTAGCCAAGAATGTCGATTGCCTTGATCCAGACCTTTAGGCGTGTGCAGTTATAGAACAGTCTCTCGAAGAGAGAAACGACGAATTGCAATCCGTTTTTACATGTATTTATATAGACCAGTACTGTTACAATTCAAACATACACTTTCATAGCGATACGTCTAATATGAAAAAAAGTGTTTTGATAACGCAAATGTCGATGTGTTCACACGATAATAACAAATTAGTGAGGATATATCTTCTTTAGAACAATGTTGATATAACAATGTATCTAATCTGTTTGAATAACAATACTTAAAACACAATAAAAATGCACTTTCTATTATATCAGTTATATAAATGATGACTTTCCAATGTTAAACCACACTACTGACATAACATTACTGGTATAGCGTTTGACCATAACACAATGATAAAATCGTGCCACTAAGGTACAAAGCAATGCTAACATAAGGAACCTGACATAAACGTACTCAGAGCTAAAACTGTATCTGTCGATAATCGCACACGTGTTATCGACACAGAATATCTGTTGCTGCTACATTGTCGTCTAGGTTCTTGAGGAGGTGAAGTAGCTATCACTTAGAGATAATATGATAAAATCGTTAAGGAGTATGGTGTATATTGTACCAGTGATAGTACTCAACAGCCTTCGTGTGACCGTCTGCATGACACGGATAACTTAATGAATGTCTGAACACTCGTTATGGCTCTCAATTACACACGTTCAATACTTTTACAAGTTTCAGAAGATTACGTATATAAAATCAATACATCCTTGCTTTAAAATTTAATTTGAGCGCAACTGATTCCCAAAAACATTGTAGACTCTATCACCGTATAAAAGTGAAAGTCTTCGTAAAATGTGTCTATTTCAGTAGTGGCTATAACTATATTTTCGCACTCAAAATGTTAAAGATTTCCACACCTGCTGAGCTACAACGGACAGTACAGTATATTGTTTTGGTACATATCAACAACACATGCGGTGAATATGTGTTTGGACACATCGCTAGACAATAACTGAATTCTGTAGAACAGCTCCGAGCAGATCTCCAAAATTAGCCTTATCCTTGTTGTCAAGACGTTAGGCAGTAGAACTTATTACTTGTCCAACGTTTATTTTCAAGAATAATATCGATTGATTCGAACATCGAAAAATGATCAACAGAAAATAGTTTCCTCGTTCAAGAACATTTATTGTTTGGAAGATTCCAGAGAAGAAAATAAAAATGGTATAGTTCTTCTTAATGAGTGAGTATTTTGAACTCATTTGAGATGTTTCATTATAAACAAAAATTCAAATGTGTATAATTTATTTAGATATATTACCTGAGGATGAATTCAAGTTACTTATACCATCTATCTGATGAAATTCAATTCTTTGCATATGTCATTCGTCATCATATGTGATTGGGGACCGTTCCAATGATATTGTATGTAGGTAGTGGCACAGTCTTGTGTGACATTGTAGATGATGTTATCTTACTGTAAGTACTCCATGATGATCAGCTTTGGAAGTTTATTTCTGTTAATTATCTTACTATAGCAACCATTTACACTGACATTATATTTGAAACACTGTAATACTGTATGATAGCTCGAGTATGTACGCTTGATATACACGATAATGAAGGTTTGTTTTCGTTTCTAAGGCAAGTTTAAACACTAAGATCAGCAGACTTCCACTCAACTTTGACACAAATATGCATTGATATAATAAGATGGCGTTTCCGTTTGCGTACAAATCTTTAGAGTGGCTATCCAAAATTCAAGAGGAAAACTTAAAATCAATTCGTGATTTGAATTTTCCTGGAAGAGAGTAGAATTGGAATTCGCAGAAAATCATTGAAAAATATTGATTTTATTACCGTAGAAATAAGAAAATGGAAAGCGCATGAGTGTGTATTACGTAATATATGAATATTAAACACATTTAAATTACAACATACATCAAGGACTTTAATAAATTTGATATATTGTCAACTTGAAAAGTCACATTGTTTTAGGAAATGGATATGTAAATCACTTAAGATATAAAGGCGTTCTTACTTTTTTTCTTAAACACTCGTCTCGTTTGAAAAAGTTAAATGACATTACTTATTTAAATTTACCATGATTTACATGTCAGTTTTCGCCGAGGTAGCAAAAAACGCTTACTTTTCCGGAACACGTGGTCTTCTTCTCATTGTATTTTCCCAGAAGTCTGCGAATATTTTTTTCTCTCTTGTTGATTGTTTGCCTAATGTTTATTAAATTTGAACTTGGATTATTTTTCTGTGGAAATGTTGTCATTTTCTTTGTTCTTGTCATAGACTGAAATTTACTACTGTATCAAGCCTTTTCATTACCGTCGTGACACCCTAACTCATAATCAGAACTCTATATTACAGTCTTAAAATGTATTGTTTCTTGGTTATATCAGATTCAATATAAGTTAAATAATGGACCTTGTGAAACGTGATATATTCAGATTCGCATTGCCCGGCCTCGGAACACGGAAGTTTAGGTACGTAACGAATAGGAAATCCTAAGCACTCTACAAAAGGAAATGAAGTCATAGTTCACGAGATTTTGTCACATTGTATACTCGTGTTTACATCCTCAGATCACCAAGATCACCGTAACTGCCTACGTTGTTACTGGTAAATATATGTATTCCATTTTGTGTAAGTTGAGTAACTTGTTTCACGATGATTTGTCACCTGGTATATCAAGCTGTAGAAAAGGATTGCTACACATGTGCAGTGACACTAGATCAAGTGGTATATACGCATATATCTAACATCACACGCATGCGCAATCGTGACATTTGGAAGGTGACTGTATGCTATTTATTTGTCAAATACTGTCAATGCTCCAGGATCTTCAAAGTGTTATTATCATATCGCTTTATGGCGAATTCCTTGTTACGGGTGTCTATTTTACGTTTGTTTTCTTTCTATGCTTAGCATGTTTTTTTTAAATTTCTGGACATATACATCATTATAATTGTTTATTAATTGAAGCAATTAATTATACCGGCCGGTCCTGTTACTACGTAATAACTTTCTGGAAATTTGCTAAATTTTAAAACGAAACTTGCACTGTAGCTGACACAGTAGCTAGCTATTTTACAGTTGTGTATAAAGTTCCGAAGTCGATCCTATACGGCATTTATACGATTCTTTATTTATGTTTATATTCAGTGAAAGTGAGGCTGCAGTTCCATTCTAGCATACACACTATTGTTTTCTAAAATAATACTGTTGTCGTGGTAACAAGATGTTAACGTCATAGGTGGCATTGACATGAGTCATTCCGATAGGATCCCCCATTAACTCTTCATCGTGGACTCATTGTAATCAATATTCCTTGTTAGTTATACTTTGTTAGTTTATACATATGAAATGTGACAGTTTGAAACTGAACTGACATGTAGTGCATGTTTACACTGCCCACACCGGATACTACGTGGTTACATATATGTATATATTTTTCAGCCTTCTTGTACACACAATGTGGTGACAGCGCTGAATTACAGTGGAAGGATTTCCAGATAATTTACGTACATTTTACAGGGATATGTCGAGCCCAATATTTAATTGATGGACATATTGGTGATGTTTTGGTATTTTGTCTACTTAACAGATTGACTAGTTTTATGGTAGACTAGAGTGCACGGGATTTAAAACAAAGAATATGTATGTTGGAAGTGAAACAGAAACAAACATCACAGGTAATGTACAAACTTTGTTTCATTATATACCCAATCTTCGTTGTTTTATTGTTGTTGTTGTTGTTGTTTTATTATAACGATAATGGTGATGTTGCTGCTGCTGATGATGATATATTTTTTTCAGGTGCTGGGTTATCGGGATCACTTTTTGGTGTTGCAGTTTTCAGCTTGGTTATCATAGTTGTTGTTGCCAGCTGCACATTTCCAAGGTATTTATTAAACAAAAGCACCATCTCCTCTCACACAAACGACGCTCTTCCTCTCCTATATTTTACATCCATTTTCTTTCCTTCATGCTATCATCTCTCCTAATCAATCGGCCGTACACCACCACCCCGGCATTGTCTGTACTCTCAAACAAACGCCCCCAATGCTTTAATCAGTTCGTTGTCACTTGTCACCTTGCCATTTATCCTAAAAAAATTATCGCTGTTCTATTCCCATTTTTATGTAATATTACCCAATCAATGTCCTCCTTCAACTGTTATTTCCGTTTATTCCCGCCAGCCTGGACATCACTACCCCAAACGTTGATTCCCGTCTATCAGTAAAATCAGATATAAACGAAAAATCTCGTAAGATATGAAAATAAAAGAAAGGTGAATTTCTAGCGTAAGATATGAAAATAAAAGAAAGGTGAATTTCTAGCGTAATTGAATATTTGATCCAACACATAAGAGTGAACAGATCCATGATACTTATAAAACTATTATGAATTACTTTAAACTCGTTTTACAAACTTAATCCATTACAAAAGAAAACACATTCTTTCATGGATAACTCAAAACATTCCCTGTTTATGTAATTGCGAGTGCGCTCGTATCATACACGTTGATATCCAAACCAATGCCCGCATGTGAATCAAAGTAGGAACCATGCCTTGTGAGTTGCTGTATACTGGATTTTTTCTACTATTTAAGCAACATTGTACGATTCGGAATGCACCAAAATAATGATGTAATAGTGTTCATTGCCTTATATTTATAAAACAGAAGTACGATATACCCTTAAGAGTAAAGATGCAATTTGATATTGAAAAATTAGCGTACTATCATGAGTATCATTAACACTCTGCTGGAGGATGGGCAATTTGCTATAGTCGAAATATAAACAGCTCGTGTATAGAGATATTACTATATTTCAGATGCAATAAAAAACATAAGAGAGAACTGAAACCCAGAGTGACCATAGAAAGGAAACAAGCTATTAGTACCGAAGACGTATCCACAGTTTCGAACTCATCGAAGTCAGCACCAAAGAAACCAATACGGAGCTGTCCTTCTACTCGTTCGAATCAGCAAAAAAATGTTCAGAACTACGAAAACGTATTCATTGGAGTTTATCGTGGAAACTTCGCATCTCCTAGTGTCAGTGTGGTGGACGCTTCCGACGTAGTGGATAACGTGTCGTCTGCTTCTGATCCGTTTATTGACCCAAATGAAGAAAATGCTATTTCACACACGAACGGTAACAGACTTAGCTACGAAGAACAATGTGACAAAGCTCTGGAGAGACATATAAGTGTCAGGTACGAAAACAACAACGATCAATTTGATGACGTCATAATAAACAAACATGAAAACAATAGTAGTGAGAAACACCGGAGTAAAGGCTCTCTAGAGATTTCTATCAGTGTCAACTCTCGTGTGTGATTAATGTATCCAACCGATGGCTCCCGGTTTGTGGGTGTTTAAACATGCATATAAACTTTTTTGTTTTACATTTTCAATTTCATTGTAATACGCGATGCATTTTTCTATATGATAATAGACTTATGATATACAGGAACTTTATTTACCTTCTCATCATATTGAAGTTTCATGCGTTTTCTATATTAACACTTTAGGCATTTTTAACCTTCCAAGATTAGTTGTTACCTAGTCGTTCTGTTGCTACGTGACAATCTAGCTCAAGATGCAAAAAAGAACGTTGTCTACTGAATTTGCAATTTTAAAGCCAGCTGAACTTTTCCTAATGATGTGGTTGTTTGTGTGGAAATAAGAAAATTTGAATTTATCCTTCCCGCATGAGCTGTTGCAAGGAAATTGCAAAAGGCAAATAAATATGTCCGTCATTATACATGTGTGAATGGAGTAATGGAACATGCCCTGTCCACGATAGGGTTCTAGTCAGGGTTTAAATGTAAATCAATGTTGATAATGGTGTCACAACTACATTATTTAAAGTGAATTAAACGGATATTGTATGTATTTATCATCATCACAGCTTCACCACATCGACTTAAATTGACTAACTAGTAACAAGAAGGCGAGAGAGTAAATTTATACAAATAGAAAACATGAACACTACTAAAACAATACACATTACGTGTGATGTGAAGGTGATTTGTACTTCTACTGGGGTCGATCGTCGCTGCTACATGTCTGCATGAAGATGTATATTCGTTTTTATTTATTTTATTGTCAGATTGTTATTGTCATTAAATACCCTAATGAAATCATTCCGCGCCTATTTTCTCTATTAATTAAGTAAAATTGACACGACATATGCCGTTGAGAATAGCACTAATACAACAAATATTTGTGCAACATTTATTGTTGGTAGTTGTATTTGATACAACAGCTAGTGTCGATATTTATAAAGCTGCTAGTGTGAATAGATATTTATACAACAGATGCTGTTGGGATAGATATTTAAACAACAGTTAGTGTTAACTGTGATATTTATACAACAGATGGTGTTGATATAAACATTAATACAACAGTTTGTGTTGGTAGAGACATTAATACAACAGTTGGTGTAGGTAAATATATTTACACTACAGATGGTGTTGGTAGAGAAATTTGTACAACAACTAGTGTAAACAGTGACTTTTATACAACAGATAGTGTTCGTTGAGATATTGATAAACAGCTGGTGTTGGTAGAGAAAGTTATACAACAGTTTGTGTTGGTAGAGAAAGTTATACAACAGTTTGTGTTGGTAGAGAAAGTTATACAACAGTTTGTGTTGGTAGCGATATTTATGCAATAGATCGTATTTATAGTGGTATTTAAAATATAATTAACGTGACCAGTGGTATTTAAACAGCTAGTGTAGGAAGCATTACTTATACAACACATGATATATATAGTGATATTTATACAGCTAGTGTAGGAAGCATTACTTATACAACTCATGATATATATAGTGATATTTATACAGCTAGTGTTTTTAATAATATTTCTATATTTGTGCATATATATATATATACCACATTTAGTGTAGATAGTGATATATATATACCACATTTAGTGTAGATAGTGATATATATATATACCACATTAGTGTACAACACAGATATATAGTGATATATATACAACATTTAGTGATATATATAGTGATATATATACCACATTTAGTGTAGATAGTATATATATATATACCACATTTAGTGTAGATAGTGATATATATACCACATTTAGTGTAGATAGTGATATATATACAACATTTAGTGTTAGATAGTGATATATATACCACATTTAGTGTAGATAGTGATATATATATACCACATTAGTGTAGATAGTGATATATATACCACATTTAGTGTAGATAGTGATATATATACCACATTTAGTGTAGATAGTGATATATATATACCACATTTAGTGTTGATAGTGATATATATATATACCACATTTAGTGTAGATAGTGATATATATATACAACATTTAGTGTAGATAGTGATATATATATATACCACATTTAGTGTAGATAGTGATATATATACCACATTTAGTGTAGATAGTGATATATATATATACCACATTTAGTGTAGATAGTAATATTCATACAACAGTTAGTGTATACAACAGTGTTTGTAATGATATGTATACAACAGCTAGTCTTGATAACGAGAGTTATGATAATCTGCTGTCGGTAATGACATTTACAAAATCGATATTCAAGTAACTGATATCAATTAAACAGTGATTGGTGATCGTGACTTCATACGCCTTCGTATACACGAGCGCAGTGATTTTTATGCATATCATATTTTCTTGTCGCACATAAAATATCCCATTACAATAGCGTTTTATGTTTTAATTACTTGTACCTAACAAGTATGTAGATTATCTGTTCACAAACGTCTATAGGAATAAGAATGGTAATAACAATAGTAATAATATTTGTATCAATCCGTATGGTCCTCAATTCAAATATCTACCTTTTATTTCATTTACGTCATAATCACTGGTTTGACAGATTTGCACGTTCAAAGTAAGTGTTAAAGAACTTTCTCATTAGTACTTTGCGAAAGTTGATATGTTATTCGAATATTTTACAAAATTGTATAAACATGTACAAGAAAGTTGTGTTGTGTGTTTTGCGATTCTTTTTGTTTTTGTGACGATGCTTTCGATCTGAAAGGGAAATCGGGTGCATGTTTCCATTTCTGTTGACATCCGAATATTGAATTCATTGATAACCTTGTGCAAACATCATTTACAGGACTTATAAACACAAAATTGAAGTAGTCCCCTCGGTATCATAATTGAAACATATATGTGAAAGCTGAAACTACATGTGCTTCCTACTATTTCAGTATTGTTAAAGCACTTTTCTCTGAAGAGAGTACCAATTTCCGTAGCCAAAGGTTGTTTAACGTGATAAGCTTTGGACTTGCGTGGATAGTAAGGAACACTTGATTGGTCGGAAGTAACGGAAAACATTATAACTGTAACGCTATCGTGATGTACATGCAAGACATTGTAAAAACGCACTCAGTATGTACTCTGTCTTACTTCCTTATACAAACATGATATCCGGCACAGCGCCTAGATAAGAAGACACGGGAGAGGCTGTTGAACTGTTTTTGTTTTTTAATACAAGGAATTATTGTCCAACGTGTTAGGGACACAGAAGACTATTTGAATGATTTACAGCTCGCGGATTTTTACTCAGATACAATTCCTTATGGAATTGAATTAAAAGTAACGTAGTCATTCTTGATATCCTTTCCAAGACCTGTAACAGACTTCTAACACAAAGGGGAATCGATTAGACAAGTCAATGATTTGCTAGAATTACATTTAATCTTACATGTTTTGTTTATGTTTACAAATAACTGTCATTTACTCACCATGTTATTTACATAGCATATTAAGCATAAATTAAAATGCAATAAAAATAGAACCAAAATTGTTCATAAAGTATTAAAAAAAACACGAAATATTAAAAGAACTTTATATTTTACTACAGAACACACGTGGTTTGAATTTGAAGTAAGCACTAGACATCCGTTAGTGTCTCATTGACATATTACCACACCTAGATTGTCCTAATTACTGATTAATGCATCCTGTTTACGATTAATCTACTGTAGAAACAATCCCGTAAACAATATGCTATGGTACAAACGTATAGATTATCATATTTATGATTTGTATTTACGGTATATTGATAACAGATTAAAAACATCGTCTCATTTCGTCCCTGAAGCAAATATCCATCATGATATGATCTGTTGTTTGTTAATATTGACACGACATAATGGAGAGTTGTAGGATGTGAAAAATAAAAAATTGATTATGGTCCTATGGTTTGATCTTTATTGAAACAGTCTCAAAACATTATACTTGTTCATGAAACACACTCGTGGCATTGGGCTTTTAAAATTATTGAAAATAATCGTAACGTATTACGGTCGTCATTTTGATCTTATTGAGAAATATTCTATTTCTTTGTGCGGTATGGAGTTAGACGTGTTCGTAAGAGTTTACCAGCTGTTTCTATTGTTGTATACCTTATTCTCATTTGAAAACGCGATGCTACTTAATAGATTCACAAATATTTACATTGTGGATGTCTTCGATGAAGCAGAAAACACTTATTTTCTGGAACACCTGGTCTTATTCTCCTTGTACATTTTCATGAGTCTCTGTATAAACGTTTTTTGTTTCTATTTTACCCTAGTTTTAATCAATTTGATTTTGGATTATGAATATATTGACATGTTAGTAATTTCTTAATGTTTTTGTTACTAAACAGAAAAAGATAAAGTTTCATCTGAATTTAGAATATCTTTCATCTTGTCACCAAATATTTCGTCATCTTAAAATAATTTCTTTACATATCTGGACATGTTAACAAGTTTTTTTTCTTGATGCTTTTTAAAAGTGTGCATTTTTATTGAATCACTGTTGTCAGGAAAGCGCATATGTTATTCAACATTTCCAAATCAATCATTTCTATATATATAGAAGGATTACTTTCAATTGCCGACAGAACATTTATTTCATTCAGTAAAATGACCGATTAATTTTCTGTGTTATCAGCAGGTATCGTTGCGACAGTTCGTTTCATAGAATACCTGACATTCAGTTTAGGTGACTGACGTTTAATATAGAGAAAAAATGTGCAAGACACACATGTAGACAAGTTTATAAACGATCAAAATCGTAAAAATATTTTTCTATCATCGTTTGATTTATGAGGAAACGAAATGAATAATTGGGCTGCTGAAAAGATCTGTATGTGTTGTATGTAAGGTGATTGACTATTCTAGTGCTTCCAGCGGAAGCGGTGTTAGGTATTACTCAAGGGACATTGGATTCGTATAAAGTTTTTGCTATAATTACAATGTACTCTAGAACTAGGCCTTGTAAATATAAGGGCGATACTGCTAAGTTCAGTGATCTCTATGCATTGTTTGCTCAGTTGATTCGAACGTAACCTACTCGGCACAAAATCTTTCAACCAGTATTTAAAGGCAACATTATCATAAAGTTAACATCAGTTGACGTCTTCCTGGAAGGAACATAACCAGTGGTAAATGATGTTGCTATCCTGGCACATTGTGTTGTTTTCTAGGGCTGTGTTTTGAGTACAACATCAGTGTTAATGTCGAGGATTACATTTCGCTATGTTGTCATTATTTTCTTGATGTGTTCAAAACGATAGAGTTGGGATAATAACTCAGAAAGTAATAAAAGCACATTAAATGACATCAAAATAGTATTTATTTCCAATACTTTGCGGCACATACATAAACAAAAATGATCATCTATTGGCATTGTCACGGTTCAGGTACTACAGGTCAAGGTACATCACCTGTGTTGCACAGCATGCACCCAAGAAGCTAAAGATGGCCGCCGCCACCACGATAGCGACACTACTGCCGACAGCGTCGATGATTGTACCGACGAATGCAGAAAGGATGAATTGTGCCAAGAACACCATACTACTTACCACCGCAACGTCCGTTCCGAGGCCCCGGACCGTCTTGTCTACAGGATTCGTAGAGAACTGAATGAAAACGAATCAAATTTAAGATAGTCTTTAACTTTTCTTTTCGTGTGTTAATTTAACTAATAATTGGGTATTTAAGAAGGAGTACAATGAATTTATATGAACGATATTGAATAATGTAATGTCATTTTTGTACTATTCAAAAGGCTGTGCCGATGGGTTCTAAACTGCAAAAAGAACGGTTAGCATTGTTTGGTAGATATATGATCAATTTATTTTGAAATATGAGGAAGTAAAACGTTTTGCTGTCTTTCAACTTTCTTGGTCGTTCAGTGAAAAGTGCCTGACTGTTTGGTTAATTGATTAAATCGTAAATATGACACATCAAGGGAAGGTTGTCCTTAGAAACACATGCAGATGTTTTAACCTCCATTATTAATTAACACTTCAATGACAAAAGACAACAAGAAAATTCCAACATATCAACATAATCATAATCAAACATGTTTCAAAAGAGTCTGTTATTTTTTTCCGAATATGTACCTCGTGAATTGAAAAATAGTTTTTTTTGTAATAGAAGGGGGTTAATTTTGTTAATCATAGATTTTTATGCTGATGCACACACGATTTACCTCCCTTTATTCACAAAATCTTTATTACTGACAAATCTTACCTGACCATTGGTGTGATAGTTCGCCAGTAATAAATATGGCATTGTAAACAATGTGGCATACATTATCCCTGCTGACGGGGAAAGCAGGACAGCTGCAATTCGGTGTCTAGTGATAGCCATTATTATCATTCCGAATGTGTACACAAGCTGTCCACCAATGTATACCTTTTTGGCCCCTGAAAATGACAAAATCATAAATATTACACAGAAAAGTATAGCATTATACTTTGTAAGAATGATTACTAAATTATTGTTCTGAGTAAATTAAAATAAACTTGTGTCGAGACATTTCCATTCCAAGCAGGGTCCTTGGACATGTTGTAATAAATGTTCCCTACACAAAAATAAGCCACACGTACGTGAACATTAAGTACGGAATATTGTCCAGGTTATTGATCTATCGGATAACAAATTACATACATTCAACGCCGATGTTTTTTAAGGTAGAAAACAAATTACTTATTTGGTTTTGAGGTTTTGCATCAACACAACAACATGGATAACAGATTCTAAGACAATGATGAACTCAGTAGCATAACATCCTACAACGGGCTAATAGAATATCTCACTCCCTTTGTTTAAGATATGGAGCTCAATCCAATTGGGAAATGCTAGATGTTTAAATTTGCAAAGACTGGTCTGGAGGAGTTTTTACTAAATGATGTTTTTGAAAAAAAAAACAAGAACCATTTATCTTCTGTGGGTTATGTAAGCGATCTCCATCCACATGGTAAGATTACTAAGTAGCAGAAACTCGGCAAGACTCATTATAACCAATACAATAATATCTTTCTCCTATGGGAGTGAAAGTTTCTACTGAACTCCATATCTTCAAAACCTTTTACTTATGCTAAATGAAGCAAAGTAAATAGTTTCATAAGGAATAGAGAAAAAAATAATTTTGCCGTCATCTCCGATTCATGTAAATTGTTATCACTTTGCTCAATGAATGCTTAACCATACCTTTTATGTAAGTAATCATATTCACCACCTGATACCGATTCCCCATTTGTACCATCATGGCTGGTATAAAATAGGAATGAAACCATTTACTTATCTTTTAATTCTGCCTTAAAAGGACACGATTAGAAGAAAACCTTTCATCTTAAGACGCAGGAAATCTGAATAGAGTGTAAGCCTTTCATCTTCAGATTCGTACTTATATTACTGAACAATCTCTTCTGCACCATCGCATCAATTATTAACACAAGATAGTGAGTGTGAAGTATTATGTTTGGATTCAATAGTATGACAGCACCTGTGTTCAGCCTCGTGCAAAAACAGTAACCATTCAAGACGTAGTTAAAGTTCAGTGTATTCTTTGACAAAATATAGAAGAATATATCTGGTTTCACCGAGTTTTCTGCGATACAAAATTAAAAGCATTAACAGAATGCCGAAATGACTTTACCGTATGAATTTTCTCTCTTTTTATCGAAAATGCTAGTTATTTATCAGTTAATAAAAGGACGTTCGAATGATAATTTTTATAACAATTTTGTCGACAGAAAGATGCTTATTTAGGATCACTACGATTTTGAACGTAAGTATTTTTTGCGATATCATCATTCCTTGATCGGTTTGGGGAATATATTTTTGATAGAGGCAACGTGTCTCCTCGACAGTTTATTGGAATTGTTATGATGGGTTGCAACAATTTTATGTATTGCCAATCATTTAATAAGAGAAACATGTAAAAAAATAAAAATAACATCATCGTCAGTGCTTTGTTATATTTATGTTCTTAGAATGGTGATATTGAACTTGACTGTGTAAAGACAATTATTTCATCATGGAAGATGTTTGCGCTGCACATGCTTCCTGGATTTTGGGTAGACATCTTTTACCTACGAGACGTTATACACAAAAGACTCTCAATGTGTTGTTTAACATGTGTTAATTATGAAAGAATCAGATAACATTAAATAATATGTGATAAGTTAGGAATACAATTTTATAGATATTATAGCACTGTTTTTGTAGAAATGAAAAAAATGAGCGAAATTTCACATTTATTTCAAAAAAAGAAAAGTAAATGGTTTGAATACAGGCCATGAACATCAGTGAATATTGATATCTTGCGGTATTTTTCCTTTTACACAATTATGTAATTATTTACCCTTGACATGTTGGCACGCGATGTAATAAAGAAGGTCGATCGATAAGAAAATAGTATAATGCTTGCTATATAAACTGATAGTTAAAACTTAATTAAGTGTCCGGCTGTCCTACAGATTTCATCGTGTTGGTCGTTTATTCCCGACAACATGTAATAGAATAACGCTTTGTACGTCTAAATACTCATTTCCGTATCACATGAATACAGATTCTCTCTGCCCACGTGTCTGGGGTAATGGTAATGCTAAAATAACAAAGTAATCCATCAGGATTATAGATTCGTATAACCGGTCGGCCTTTCCCTATTTTTGTATGCTAAGTATACATTTCAAATCAACTTTGCACTCTGTATACCGGGGACTCCTTAATGGCGCGCGCCTGTCTCATTAAGCTTTTCCAGTATGCAAGACAGGTAGGCGCCATTTTGAATTGCCAGTTCCGGAGGCTAAAAATAAATGTTAGTAGCGTGCTGTCTGGAAAGTTTAAATTAAGAGTAAATTAAGCAGTGCCATTGAAGGAAGTGCTAACATGGAACATCGGGAAAAAACAAATAGCCGCTCTGATATCAGATATATCAGACCTGTGATGTCATTGTTTGCTTTTTTCTAATTATTACTGATTTCATTAGTGAGTAAATGATATATCAGTTTTCAATAAGCGACAATTACAATAAACATATCGTTAAATTTGCGATAACCATATCAGAGCATTTCACAGTGTACCGAAAATTAAAACGTCTAACATCTTACACGTGACTCGATATAGGATATGAAGAATTTTTTTTACGGTTTTCCAGTAACAAGCATACTATTTTAGCTGTAGCAAGCGTTTATCATGCCCAATGATTTGTTGTGTTGGTTCTGATGCTGTTTAATGCTGTTGCTACCGCTGAGGTGGTTACATAAGTGAAATATACTTACTAAATCTGTCGACGAACTTTTCTATGCACAACGAATACATGGCACAGGACAGAGAGTACAGAGACATCCCGAACGATCCTAATCGGACCCCCGCTTCATAAAGTTCATGCTTCACGCTTCCTACTGGAGCCAAGGGGTCGCCCTCGAATATCGCCTGACCGACAAAGTCTGTGAAGTACAAAGAATAGCAAACCAAGGACATCCAACAGAACAAGTTAGTCAGACACAAGATGGCAATAGATCGAGGCATGTGGATGATAGACAACAGGTAAGTTTTTAACGTCACTTCCGTCGAGTATGTTACAATATTGTCAACTGTCGATTCGGTGATTGCACTAACATTTGCTTTGTCTTTTTCAAGACCAGTATCATCAGAAGATTTTCGGGCTCCACCATTTTGAACCATTAATCCTTCATCCAATGAATATTTCCGAGAAGACTTTTTATCGATTGATTGTTTCAATATTTCCCTCGCTTCGTCTTCATTCGTATTATTTCGGCTTTTCCCGAAACTACTTCCTGGCTTGCTATCGTCGAATGGCATTTTTCCTTTTCCAGATTTGTTTTCTGTTTTAGCGGCCTCGCCGTTTTCTCGACTGTTAGAAGATCTTATTCCGGAACTTGAGTGATCAATTACACCTTTTATCGAACTACTTCCGGCTTTAGTTTCATCCAAAGTACCATAGCTTGCAGACATTGTTTGTTTGAGATTCTTACTATTTCCTCGAAGCTCGTCTTCCGATTCAGAGGAAGATGTTTCCTCATTCACAAATTTCTTGTATTTTGATTTTCCTTTCTTTTTCTTTTTTCTTTGCATTTGTTCCGCCCTACCTCCTCGTAACTCGTCAAGAGGCACCTCCTTAAAACTAGTAACAGTGACTAATACACAGAATACATACGCAATAAGCACCACAGTGAATACTACTCTCGTGTGACCTCCAAATGATTTCCCGAAATTTGTTTTATTCCAATCTATTCCGCCCATTATGTATCCCACGGAACCTCCAAGACCTGCCAAAACCGTGAAGGATGTAAGCCCTGCAGAGTGGTCTTCCGCAATACTAATATCCAGTAAGTAGGCCCTACAAGGAGACTGGGCGGCATCACTACTGAAATCTAGTAATGCTACACCAAATATTGTTAAAATGATTCCGGACACGTGGTTATCTGGAATTTTGGGAATGTGCCATTCCGAACTTGTAAAATTTCCGAGTTGCTCTGTTTCCATTTTGTCTAGATTTGTATCGTTATCAGCGTCATTTAAACTGGAATTCAGCGACGTTTTGTTTGTATGATGTGTACCATAGTCTCCGATGTATTCACCCAAAGTCTCTCCGTTCGGAACTAATATCAACCCGATGATTATTCCAGCTGATAGTAACAGAATGAAGGGTCTCCGCCGTCCATACTGTAGTCGACAACGGTCACTCATGGATCCAAGGAGCGGAACAAGAATGAATCCCATCAGAGGACTGACACACCACACAAGTGTCATCAGAGATATAGGGACTCCTAGTTTGAGTAAGATAGGGCTGACGAAAGCTGTTTCAGCGGCGTAGCACAATTCTATACCACAAACAGCTGCACTAAGTCGCATCAGTTGCCATCTTGATTTTTTCGTCGCGAGATGCTTGTAATTTGTGTCGCTTCCTGCGTCCATCAAAGTAGTCAACCCCTCGCCAAAGGATATGACGTAAGGTTGTGCCTGATCTGTGACTCTTTTGAGGACCTGGATGGTCGAGGTAAGAAGTCCAATCGACATTTTTGCAGATCTGAAAATCATACAGAAAAACATCGAAATAAATAAATTGATGCATATAAAAAAACAACAGGGGATATGTCTTAATTTTGGTTGCTAGCCGGCACATATCAATGCCTTGTTCCCTTTTGCGAAACGTGATATTACCTGCTTAAATTTACATGGCATGTGTCGTCGTTGAAGCTGAAGACGCGTTCTCTTTCGGAACATCTGGTCTTATTATCTTTGTGTAAATATATCTTTTGTCCTTATTTTGCTCCGATTTGATTGAATTAGAATTTGATTCATGATTCTGATCACATGTTGATATTTTCGTCGTGTTCTTGACTAATTCTTCCCTATTACATTTCACAATACTCCTCAATCTCCCTCAAAATAATTCATTCAAAAGAACGATACTTTTTATCGTTACAAACAACATCACACAGAGCTCCTCTCCTACGTTGCTAAGGTAAAAGTGTGTTTTAATTGTTGGCAGATTACATTTTATTCATATTTATGACACCTGTTCAGGAAATATAACGGTAATAAATACTACTCCATTACAGTTGTGCTGATGAGATATAGCACTTCATCAAATTCATATCACGTTCCAGTGATGAGACACCGTTATCACCAATTAGACAGGTGCTTTATAAGCCATTGCATTGAAACTAGACGATGTTCCTGTCTGGATCCAGGCGAAAGGAAGGTTGGAAAAAAAAAAATGAAGAAAATACCGACATAGCAACATAATCATTATTCAAACTCAAATTCCACAAACCAGGGCAAATAATGTCAAAAAGAAAACGATTTACACGGAGGCTCTCGAAAAAAGGACAGGAGAATAAGACCAGATGTTCCGAAAGAGTCAGCGTCTTCTGTTTTATCAACGACATCCGCCATGTAAACCTTGGTCAATAAAAATAAGTAATGTCACGTTCTTTAATAAGAGCAAGGTAAACAACAACCAAACCAGTAGGTAAACTTTCGAGCATCAAATATGTCCAGCGTCATGTCGCACAAAGAAATATTTCTAAATGGCGACCATAAACCTTCCTCAAAATTTCATCAACCAGCATATTTTGAACTCTTTTGTTACGAGTTTTTCAGGTAGATGACGTCTTGCTGGAATATCGTTATAATGGGACAGGTTCTTAGATACCGAATCAACTGTGACATGTAAATACCATAGGTTGGAGATGAAGATAAGTTATCTATTAAACCTTTTCCTTATACATTGAGGATTTTTTGCGAATTTGATAATTAAGAAAACTATCAAGTAACAGCATAAATCATAAAGCGGCCAGCGTTATACTATCCCACGTCAAAATAGAAAATGATATTTCCATATCGTTTTGTTTTTGTAAATCAGTTTATTTCATGTTTAAGTGATTGTTTTCCTTTAAACTCAATTAAAAAATAAAATTAAATGTTATGATTATATTTTTCAATCATGCTTCTCATAGTCATGAAATACATATATGTAAATTTGATATTCCAAGAAACCGTAAAATATTCTTTTAAAAGTTATTGATATGGGAACTTCAGCTTCGATGCTAGTCCTTGTGCCTTAGTCCAACATTCCAAATTTCATTAAAATTAAGATAACGATTATTTATCATATAAGTATGTTTAATTTAGTACATATCTATAAAGTAGCGTTAATGGATTTCTAGTTTCCTTTACCCAATATATATGATGGAAAGGCACATATTTGGTGCTCTCTGTCAAATTTTGGTACGGATCAATTTTCTTCGATTGATTGAGTTTAAGATGTGCTCTTCACACAACACCGCGATTAATTGCTACTTCCGTTACTAGTTATAACCATTGACCACGATGACCGGTCTGCTGGACAAATGGACAGTGTCTACTCGTCATATTATTCAATAAATTTAGCTTAGCACTTCTTGTAGAATATAGTTGTAGTGCATAGAAGTGGTATAGTAATTTAATTTTGCCGAGAACACGTCGGATATTGTATATCCTCTCATGCCAGTCAGAATTAGGAGGCCTCGGGGGTGATTCTATTCTATACACGATCTACCGATAACGCCATCAATATGTTTGTACATATGGATTTTCTGGTTTGGAGATCACAGCTGGCAAGACTGATGTCGTCTGATCTATGTTCTCTAATATCTGACTTTTAAAACATAACAAGGTCACTTATAAATAGATAGATTCCAAACAAACGTTTCGCCGATTTATCGAATCAGCATAGACAAAATTGCTTTGAAAGCAGTCACCGTTTACTTAATAAAATATAGTCGAAATTTCAATTTTACCTCGTAGATAAGCATTACTCTCCGATATATATATATATATATATATATATATATATATATATATATATACCTATTGTCAGAACTCTATTACATATGCTATGCGCAAAGCATTATGGAATTTGAAGACTAAATATAACTGCCTAATTTGCATGTTTTGTAATCAGTCCGTTATGTTCGATCAGAATAGGGTTACATTTATGAATTATGTAATTTGACATTTTTCGAAACTCAGAGAAATATACTGATCAGTTTTTGGATACAAACTTTGATTTGTATTATGTTTAATTCCATCAGAAAATGAACATTTTCTTTAACGGTGACCACCTTAAAAGGAATCGAAATATATATTAGCTTTGTCATGCTATATTTACAATGATAAATGCTTGGTATCGTTATGATATGACGGGAGGTAAATCAAGTATGTTCACATGATATCAACTATACATGGTCGATGTATTCAAAAGCCTAAGTACGGTCTTACCAGTTACAATATTCCCTTGTGTTTTAACAACAGTCCGAATTCATAAGAGAAAATGGAGAGAGAAAAAAATAATAATAAAAAAAAACCAATTTCATCTTGTTTCTGTCTGGGTTTTATATTAGAACGATCAAATGAAAGATGACACAGTTTTCAATTATTTATAACCTCTATTTGGGTTTCAAATTTACGTTAAGATCTAAAAACCCCGGAGTAAGCAGTTTACTGAATATAAAAGTACACCATTCCAGTTCAAACTTTCCAAACCTCATCGAGAAATTTAATCTAGAAATAGATGTGAAAAAAATACATCTTAGCGGAAACCGTAGTTCTGCAGCAGAACCCAACCATACGAGTTAGCAACTGACATTTCAAATTGTTTGGTTGCTGCTCTTACGAGCACGAACATTACCATATTTAGTTATTCAACGATCGTGCAGACCAGACATAACAATATATTTTTGGAAACTCGAGTCGAGCTCTTTATAGAAAATGATTTCTTTCTTCGTCAAAACTTCTTAAATTATTCATCAACAAACGTGGGTGATTTCTACATCAAACTTGGGGAAATGTTGGTTCCAAGTGCACAGGAAGTTTTTGATGATGAGTCAAAAATACATTCCAAGGCTAACAGGAAATCATTATACAAAATCGCTTGCTATAGCCGATAAGCACGTGTCAGCACTCGATAAACGGAACTGCGAGGTGTGGTAAAGACACATGATATCGGCAAATAGACACATTAACGATGACATGTAAAATAACAAGTTCATTAAACACTGCGAAGGGTGTCCTTTCAAACTTACCGCTTTATGCAATGTTTCTGCAATCTTGTGGTTTTCACCAAGTGACTAATATCAAATTAATTTGGTATCGATAGTGCAAAAGACGGAAATCAATTCCCAAATTATTGTCACAAGAAAACAGTCACTGTCCGCCATAATCAGTAAAAGCGTTACAAATGACCATGTGACCAATCTATATTTCATATCAATATCTCAAATTGGAAAAATGGAGACGAATGCTAACTCGGTCAGTTTACATCTTATTACCGTTTTCGTATAAATCTTTATACGGCTAATGGGTTTTGCGACATTGACGGATACAACTTCCTAGAAACTGTGATGTATAGTGATTGCGTTTGTCAATGGACTTCACAACTGTGCTTGGCTAAAAATAGTTAGTTGATTATCACATGATGATAACGTGGTAAAGCGTAATTAATATCTAGGAAAACAGGTAAGCATATCTGTTGAGACTAGAAGGACGTGGAGTCTATCCAGTACAGGTAAACTCATTTACTATAAGACGTGGTGTCTATTCAGTACAGGTATACTCATTTACTAGGACACGTCAGTGTCTATTCAGTACAGTTATACTTATTTACTAGGACACGTCAGTGTCTATTCAGTACAGGTGTACTCATTTACTAGAAGACGTAGTGTCAATTCAGTACAGGTGTACTAATTTACTAGAAGACGTAGTGTCTATTCAGTACAGGTATACTCATTTACTAGGACACGTCAGTGTCTATTCAGTACAGGTGTACTCATTTACTAGAAGACGTGGTGTCTATTCAGGACAGGTATTCTCATTTACTAGGACACGTCAGTGTCTATTCAGTACAGGTATACTCATTTACTAGGACACGTCAGTGTCTATTCAGTACAGGTATACTCATTTACTAGGACACGTCAGTGTCTATTCAGTACAGGTATACTCATTTACTAGGACACGTCAGTGTCTATTCAGTACAGTTATACTTATTTACTAGGACACGTCAGTGTCTATTCAGTACAGGTATACTCATTTACTAGAAGACGTAGTGTCAATTCAGTACAGCTATACTCATTTACTAGGACACGTCAGTGTCTATTCAGTACAGGTATACTCATTTACTAGGACACGTCAGTGTCTATTCAGTACAGGTGTACTCATTTACTAGGACACGTCAGTGTCTATTCAGTACAGGTGTACTCATTTACTAGAAGACGTAGTGTCTATTCAGTACAGGTGTACTCATTTACTAGAAGACGTAGTGTCTATTCAGTACAGGTGTACTCATTTACTAGAAGACGTGATGTCTATTCAGTACAGGTATACTCATTTACTAGAAGACGTAGTGTCTATTCAGTACAGGTATACTCATTTACTAGGACACGTCAGTGTCTATTCAGTACAGGTGTACTCATTTACTAGAAGACGAAGTGTCTATTCAGTACAGGTATACTCATTTACTAGAAGACGTAATGTCT